CTAAAGTAACTAGAGTTGGGATTTTGAAAATAATGTTCTAGTACTTTCTTTAATATCATTATACTTTTAATGAGAAGTAGTTGTCCTATCAAATCCGTTCTGCTAACGACCCTCCACTAATCAAGGAAGCGGTGGGTGAGAGTGGACACCCATTCAACTACCATTTTATAGGCAGTTTCCTTATACCCCCCTTATATATTAGCTTCGTGAATGAGGCATACTAGCGATTTGACTGACCATATTCTTATACATATATAATATTAAACTTTTAATTATAATATATATATATATATAAGGTGTGTTTTAAAACATTTTAAAACTTCAAGGGTTTATAAATTTCGAAATTTAAGCTATTAAATTTAAATTTAAATAAACCAATTAACTAGATTTAATATTTATCTTTTAATTAACTATTAATCAAATTATTAAATCTTGTAAGGATTATCTAATTAAATTAATCCATTAATTTAATCCTAATCCTTATCCCTCTAAATTTCGAAAAATAGGGTAAGGATAATTATCCAATTAATCTAATTAAGTAACAATTATCCAAAACAAGAAACCCTAAAACTTCTAGCATATTTCGAAATTTACAAGGGAGGAGGCTAGGGTTTTCAAAACCCTAACCCTAATTTCGATTAGGGTTCTTTGGAGGCTAGGGTTTTCGAAAACCCTTTAATCCAAAACCCTAAACGAAAATTTGGCCTTTAGGGTTTAATAGCTATAAACCCTAATTTGCAATTCAACAATTATAGCAATTCAATTTAAAACAAACAATGGCTCTGATACCACTGATGGGTTTTGGGTAAAACAAATAAACTAGAAAACAATTCCTAAGTTCACATGCAACCTACTTTGGATCTATTTTTTTAACTATTGAACATATAACTTTGAATTGCAAAACAAGAACCCTAGAGGAGAGAGGCTAATTTCGAAATTAACAAACTAGGGTTTAGGGTTTACATACCTTTCAATTGTTATAGCAAACAATTGATATTCCCTTGATCTTGATCTTGATCTTCTTGGAAGCTTTAGCACCACAAGTGTAATGCCTCTAATGGAATCACACCCAATGACTAGCAAGAAGGAAAGTAGAAGAGAGAGAGGGAGGGAGTATGCAATTTCGGCCAAGGTCTTCCAAAGAATGAGTACCCTAAAATGAGCCAGGAGGCTCCTTAAATAGTTGAGGGAACTAGGGTTTAGGGAAACCCTAGTTATCCTTTGCTTAGGGCCTAAGCAAGATCCAAGGCCTTATCTTGGACCCCTTGGACGAATTCTCTAGGGTTTCCCCTAGGGTTTTCGTCCACCCCCTTCCAAGGGAGTTCTGGATCCTTCCCTTCAACTATCAGTTAATTGCAAACTAGTCCCTGCACTTTATAATTAATTCTTTTAACCCCAAAATCAATTCTGATTAATTTCTGGCTAACAATTAATTAAACATAATGATTTCTAATTAATATATTAATCTTTTAACATATTAATAAATCATTTATATTAATTCATTAATCTTATAAATTAATATCTCTCCTTTCATAATTTCCTTGTCCAGTTGCTAGGTTGAGGGCAACCCAAAAGGACTGTGCTGCTATCAATTCAAGTACATACCAATTATAGTTATGGGCTTAGACACCTAATTAGGGGAGGTTCGTCGGTCGAGAAAAATTGGCCGACATGGACGTCCGCGAGATTGTCTCTCGCCATGGGGTTCCGGTCTCCAATCATTTCTGACCGGGAGGTGTCAGGTTACCTCCCGTTTCTGGCAGAAGTCCATGAGGAACTGGGTAGGCCCAAGCACTTTATTACCGAATCGTTTCATCCTCAGACCGATAGGCAGAGTAGCGGACCAGTCAGACCCTCGAAGATATGTTGAGGCGTGTTGCTATCGACTTCTGGAGTGGGAGTTGGGGGTGAGTTCCCATCTACCTCTTGCAAGTTTGCTTACACAACAACTAATCATTCCAGTATAAGGCGCCCCGCCTTTTGATTGTTGTATGGTCGGAAATGTAGAACCCCGATCTGTTGAAGTAAGGTGGGGCACAAGTGTTGGTCGGAGGAGGTAATTTTGCAGACTACCAAAAAGATCCAGCAGATTAGACAAAGCGACTAAACCGCCCAGAGTCGCAAAAGAGTTATGCTGATAACGCCGATCGGATTGGAGTTTCAGGTTGATGACATGGTACTCTTGAAGTATCACCCTGGAAGGGCGTGATTCCTTCAGAAAAAGGGGAAAGTTTGGGTCCCCGCTATTTGGGGCCGTTAGGTCCATCGCCAGGATTGGTAAAGTGGCGTGCAGGCTGGAATTACCGGATGAGCTCAGCCGGATTCACAACATCTTTCACGTTTCGCAATTGTGAAAGTGCATTATGGACCCGGAGGCAGTGGTGTCACTCGATGACATTCAGGTTGATGAGTGCCTGAATTATATTGACAGGATGGTTGCCGTTTTGGAAAGGAAAGTGAAAGTCCTGCACAACAAGGAGTTCCTTGGTAAAGTACATGGAGGTCGAGGGGATCCGAGGGACATGGGACGGAGCTGAGATGCGGGAGCATAACCCAGAGTTATTCGCTACAACGACTTCGAGGACAAGTTAGTTTAAGTGGGGGAGAATTGTAGCATCCCAACCGTCAGGTATCATTATTATTCCATTTAGATTTCATGTTTTAAGGTCTACTCGATGAGTGGACGCTGTAACTCGTCGAGTAGCAGCGGGTAAAGAACACGTCATTTAATGAATGACTCGGCGAGTCGGCATGGGGACTCGACGAGTAGGAGCTGGAAGAGGAAACCCTAAATTTCAGGGTTTTTGCACCGATATATTGGACTATTGCGCCCTCCCCTGTCCTCATCAACCCTTGAGAGCCAGAACCCTAAATTCCGTGAGTGTGAGCTGGAGAGTGTTTTGGAGCTTGGGAAGTGATTTTTGTGAAGGAACTTGTAGATCAAGAGGCTAGCATCAAGATTTCGTGTGGATCCAAGGCTACTTCAGCTTGACACGGTTTGGAGGTAACAAGTTGTTCCCTTGATCTCTTTCTTCTAAGAATCTTTCATATGTGAAAATTAGGGCTTTCTTTAGCTATTCATGAAGGGATTATGGTATGGAAGCTAGATCTGAAGTTGAAAACTTCAGATCTGACCCCCTTTTGAGTCCTAAGTTCATAAAGTTCTTAATAGGGTCATAAGGAACCCTTGTTGAGAGTAAAGTCCATTCAAGCTAGATGTGGATTTTGAATCCAGCAAATACGTAAAGGTAGCAACTTTACGTTGCTAATGCACTCTAGGGACCTAGATATACTGTTTGGAACAAATGGGTAGTTCAGAATTGCTTGATCATGAGAGTATGTGTATGGACTCGGCGAGTCTGGAAGATGACTCGGCGAGTCGGGTACGGTTTTGTCCAAATTAGTCCCGCCTGGACTCGGCGAGGTCTGGAAAACGACCCGGCGAGTCAGTTTAGACTTCCAAGCACTGAGTCGCGTATCGACTCGGCGAGTCTGATAGAGACTCGGCGAGTCGAGTCGAGAATTCGGAATCAGGAGGGACTCGAGGCAGAGGAAGTTATATTCAACAAACAGGTCAACATGGACTGTTGACCATGGACCAGTGACTTGACTTGCCTGTGGGATGTCTTGTACCTCCCAATGGCATTTTGGTAATTTGAGTAATTATTGAGTGGACCACTTATGGGTACAGGCGAGGTGGTTGGAGCTATATCGGGAGGTGTAGACAGTATCATCCGAGCTACTAGCAGGTGAGTTATCCTCACTATATCAATAGGGTCTAAGGCACCAAGGCCGGCCCTTTTAGTTGTTATCTTGGTTACAGTATGCTACATGTGGTTATGATCTGTTAGATCGGTAACAGGATAGACAGTATGTTGTTATGCTCTTATGACCGTTAGGATTGTATGAGTGGCCTGGTTAGGTTGGTGCTCTGGTTAGGAGAGATTGCTATGATCGATGATCTGTGAGATAGTTATATCTGATGTCTGTATATGCTAGCTTATGTTAGTCTTGTGCACATGGTTATTTGCTGATGTTTTGGGTTGAGGCGGTCTTGCTTCGTGCTGAGGCCAACATACCCTATGAGCGGAGCGGTCCGGGCAGACTGTGGGCCCGTATGGCAGCCCAGTCGTACCGAAGGCTCGGGATAGATCCAGATAGACTGTAGGCCCGGTTGGGCGGTCCAGTCAGGCCGAAGGCCCAGTATGCATGTTGTTGATTATATGTTATTGATATGGTATTGTCGGTATGGTATTGGTATTTTGGGGGTAGCTCGCTAAGCCATCGGGCTTACAGTTTCAGTTTATTGTTTCAGGTACTTCCGGAGATCGTGGCAAGGTGAAGGCTTGACCGTACCGCTCCTCATCCAAATGATTATACTCTGGGACACTCGATGAATAAATATTTTGAAAACATTTTTGTAAAACACTATTTGATTTTATGGTTGAAAAAGTTTAAATTTGGCTTAAAATTTTTGGGATGTTACATATTGTTTGCTTCCACATTTGACGTAACAATGGGATGTATTCATGCAAGCTCTTAAGACTTGAGAATACGTTAAAAAGTAGGATTATATGCTAGAATATAGGAGAAATGAAAGTACAATGTCCGAGAGGTAAAAAGGTAAAGCATAATATTATACTATAATTCACTAAAGTTGAAAGTTAACCATATAGATGATTCTACGTCATGGGTACCTTGTATCAACAAATTTTACAAAAAAACTATCATTGTTGTAACAAGGTATCTCTCATGTTATTTTTCAATCGCTCAACTTATAATGCGCTAAGCACAAAACTGTTCATATACAAGATCCAGAAAACGTAAATTAAAAAAGAAAAAGAAAAAAAGACGAAGAAGATTAAGATCCACAAATTCTCACTTTAACACGTTAATATCCAAAATATCAATCATCAAAATAAATCTATCTGGTCTCTCCCAAAACAGCATATAATCTTGAAATTGCATATAAATCCCACATTTCTATGACAGAGTCATATGGGGTTTTCCATTTTTGATCATTCTTGATTATTTATATACCCTCTCTTCTTCCACTACCATCACTTTCTACTTTTCAGGTTTCATCATGTGGGATTCAGACGTAGGTGCAAGAAACTACGATAATCGAGTTCTTAGTGGCAGGCATAGTGTCCAGACTGACAAGTTCGAACAAAGAGGTCAATCTTGGTATGGATCACATAATCGTACTTTAATCGATATCTTTTAGTCAAACTTATACTTCAACTTTTATGGTCGATCAAATTGTCATATCTTATTGTTGTTCTTATCAACACAGGTATGCCATCACTGATATTCCAAGCGATTTGTTGATTCAAATTGGTGAAATTAGCTTCCATTTGCACAAGGTAGTGGCTTTACAAATGTCAAACCATCTGGATTCTCAAGAATTTAAATATATTTTTTTGTGTGCAACTGATAATTAACTCTACTACTTGTTTCTGTGCGTGTTTGCTTCAAATTCCCAAGTGTCAGCTGCTTTCAAAAAGTGGAAGAATGAATAGGATCATACATGAATCAAGAGAAGTCGTCATAAAGAAGGTGATTCTAAATGAGTTACCCGGTGGGAGAGAGGCTTTTGAGTTAGTAGCAAAGTTCTGCTATGGAGCCGTCGTTAAACTAACGGCCACCATCATCACCGGCCTCCGGTGTGCTGCTGAATACCTTGAGATGACGGAGGATCTAGAAGAAGGAAACCTGATTTTAAAAACTGAAGCTTTTATCAACTATGTTGTGTTGTCTTCATGGAAAGATTCAATCTCCGTGCTTAAAAGTTGTGAAGAATTCTCTCCATGGGCGGAAAACCTCCAGATAGTAAGAAGGTGTAGCGAATCGGTAGCTTGGAAAACCTCCTCCGACCCTAAATACGTCCGGTGGCAGTACACCGGAAAACACAATAACGATTCGAGCCCAAGTCGGGACGAGGTTCTTTCTGATTGGTGGTGTGAAGATGTTTCGGTTCTTAGAATCGATCATTTTGTTCGTGTGATCACTGCGATTAAAGTAAAAGGAATGAAATACGAATTGGTTGGAACTGCGATCATGCATTACGCCATGAAATGGCTTCCGGGGATGATCAAAGAGGGTTCATCTGGTTCAGTCGAAGAAGGCACTGGTAGCAGCAATGGCGTCGCAGCAGGTAACAGAGGCGGGCTGCATATGATCATAGCAATGAACAAAGGCGATCACTCATCGAGCCCAGAAGGAAAACGTCAACGAACGATCATCGAGAGCCTGATTAGCATAATCCCACCAGAAAACGATAGCGTCTCGTGTAGCTTTCTTCTTCGTTTATTAAGAATCGCGACCATGGTCAATGTGGCACCGGCTTTGGTTACAGAACTGGAGAAACGAGTTGGGATGCAGCTCGAAGAGGCTACAATGGCGGATCTTCTGATTCCCTCGTATAACAGAAGCGAGACTATGTATGATGTCGATCTTGTTCAGCGAATCTTGGAGCAGTTTTTGATTCAAGAACAGATGGAAATCTCGAACCCTGGAAGGGAACCGATGATAAGGAAAAGTAATGACATGAATGCGAAGATGAGAGTTGCTAAGCTTGTTGATGCTTATCTTTCGGAGGTTTCGAGGGATAAAAACCTATCGTTGACGAAGTTTCATGTTCTGGCTGAGGCGTTGCCGGAATCCGCTAGAAGTTGCGACGATGGCATATATCGTGCGATTGATCAGTATCTGAAGGTACTGTCTCGTCTTTTTCATTTTGGTAGCACGTATATAACATAAGAAATTTCCAGAGAGGAGAATCCAAATCGAAATTACCTACTTTTGATAGTAATAATTCAGATATTCATTATATAAAAATATTCGGATCTTTTGATTTTTCTTAAATCCAAATATACTTTTTTTTTCAACTATTTGGTAATTTTTATTTTTTTTACAAAATATAGTTGCTATAACATCCACAATGGAAAGAGATCAATGACGTGACATATGCAATAAAGTTTAATAAGGTGATATAATTCACATTCAATAAATTAATTTTTATAATTATGAGATGTCAAGTTGGTTCAATTAATATAGAACTTAACGGTAATTAAACTCTTTAATAGGAAAAATAAAACATTTCAAAATTTAATGTCATAATTAAATTTTATAAATATATTTTATTAAACTTTATAGAGTTTAATACATTATAATTTTTTTTTGATAGAATTGTATGGACAATATAATTATGATGTGTACAACCCATTAAACTCTAATAATTTCAATGTATTTTAGATTCTCTAAAACATTGTGTTTGTGTTTTTATGTAGGGCATGGTGTTTTTCTTTTTTCTTACGGTTTTAAGTATTGTATGCTAAAAGCATCTTATTGTTTATCAATTTGCAGGCTCATCCCATGCTTTCAGAACATGAACGAAGGAGGCTATGTCGAGCCATGGATTGTCAAAAGCTCTCAAAGGATGCATGCATGCACGCTGCTCAAAACGAGAGGCTTCCCCTTCGAGTTGCAGTCCAAGTAATATTCTCGGAGCAGATAAAGATTAGCAACACATTAGCAAAAGATACAGGTGAACTACACTACCAATCAATCACTCAAAACCGAAAAACTTTACTTGAAGAAACACCACAGTCGTTTCGAGATGGGTGGGCAATGGCTAAGAAGGACATTGACACACTCAAATTCGATCTAGAAACCGTGAAAACAAAGTATGTAGAGCTTCAACATGAGATGGAGAGTCTACAAAGCAAATATGATAAGGTAGCGAAGTTGAAACAACAATCGACATGGTCGAATGGATGGAAGAAGTTGAGCAAAATTACCAAAATTTCGACCTTTGAGAACATGGGAAGTGGGTCTCAAAGTAACAGTGAACAACTTGTAAAGACACCAAGAAGACGAAGGTATTCGATTTCTTGAAGTTAGACACAATCTCTTCTATTGTGACCCAAGAATCCTGTCACAAATGTTTCGTTGAAAATGATTTTTATAATATGTCTAAAGTTACTGATCATTTATTTATTTGCCAAGCAAAGCAACTTATTACCATCCACAAATTGGGCAATTGGATGTGATTGTACTTATTGGATTTGTCTATGATATGTAGACATAAATGATTATACTTTTAAAATTGTTGGATATTTTATTACATTTATTCTCAATAGCAATAATTCAAACACATCGCACTTTACTTTAGTTTATCAATACTATTCACCACTAATGTGGTGGGTGTCACCTCATCACTACACATAACCACTAAAAGGTTTGTATACCCACCATTATATCCTCTTATTTTTTTTATCTTTTTAAATTTTATATATATATATATATATATATATATATATATATATATATATATATTGTAGAGAGAGATAGGGAGATAAAGAGAGAAAGAAGCACATTGGATGTGATGGTTCGTCCTCCCCACCACAATTAACCACAAAAATGCCTAATCACTAGCCGCCACTAAACGTCACTTAAATTGTATATTTGGCGTAATTTACCCAGACGGTTCGGTATCATTATATAATAAGTATTTACAACTAAAGATCTTAATTCTATGGATCTGATAATACAACAATACTTATCTTGTATTTGAACTAAACTAATTATTGTTTCTTTTCTTTACATTCCCCTTCAATCTTGAATGCTACTAGGTTGAGATTGTAACGCAACTTCTCCAGCATGCTTCGTGTTGTAGGCTTCGTGAGTCCATCAACAACTTGATCATTTGAGGATATAAATCGAACATCTAAAGCCCCCATCACTACCTTATCTCTAACAAAATGGAAGTCAACTTCTATATGTTTAGTTCGAGCATGAAACACTGGATTGGCTGTCAAATAAGTGGCTCCCAAGTTGTCACAACAAAGAACTGGTGCACGTGTCTGACGAACTTCTAATTCTTTAAAGATTGTAACCAGGTTGCTTTAGCAGTCTCATTCGCTAATGCCTTATATTCCGCTTCAGTACTTGATCGCAGCACAATAGGTTGTTTTCGTGAGCTCCATGAGATTAGATTAGGACCTAAAAATACTGCAAAACCCCCCAGTAGATCTTCTATAATCTAAGCACCCGACCTAATCTGCATCAATAAAAACACTGAATAATGTTGAGCTTGATCTTCAAATGTGAAGCCTTATAGACATCGTGTTTTTAACATATCGCAAGATTCGTTTTACAGTGAACATATGCAGGCTTGGAGAGATATTGACACACCTTATTAACAGGAAAGGAAATATCCGGCCTTGTTAGAGTAAGATATTGTAAGCCACCAACCATACTTCTATATTTAAAAGTATCTTCTTCATTGAGAGGTTTTCCAGAGTCTCTAGCCAGCTTATCTGTAACTAACATTGGAGTTGAGACACCTTTATATTTCTCCATATTAATTCGATGAAGAAAATCAGAAGCATATTTGTGCTGTAGTAAAGTGATTCCCCCTGAATTGTGAAGGACCTCAATTCCCAAGAAATAATTCATCCTCCCAAGATCCTTGATAGGAAAAGAAGAATACAAGGCACGAAACAACTTGTCAACCGCAGATTGGGAGGAACCAACAATAACACTATCTTCAATATATACCAGCATATAGATAGAACTACATCATTAACTAGGATGAAAAGAGACATGTCAGCTTTAAAGGAGTGAAAACCAAGATGATGTAGTTTATCCCATAGACAAGAGAACCAAGCCCGTGGTGTTTGCTTAAGTCCATAAAGATCCTTATGAAGTGTAACACCCCGAAATAAGGTATGTATCAATAACCCTTACTTTTTATTGAATTGTCAAAGCTAGCCCTTAATTGAAAAAAGGTGGAAAATGAGTACGCGGGGCATACGCGTGTGTACGCTCAGCGTACTCATGTGTGTATTATGGACGCGGAGGCCACCTAGTGCGCTGGGCGTACTAGACTCAGAGTGAAAACCCTAATTGTGTGGTGTGCCCCTATTTAAAGAACATGATGGCCTCATTTCCAGCCACCATTTCCAGTCTTCAACTCCCCACAAAACCCTAATTCCCGTTTTCTTAGCTTGAGTGGCCATTTGAAGCTTTTGAGTGATCTTTGTGGGATTCTTTGGGTGAAGAAGGAGCTTTGAAGAGAGTAGAGTTGGAGTCCAAGCTTTGGATCTGAGTTTCCCCGTGGTTGGTGCATCATTTGGAGGTATCAAGCTCAAAGCTTTCTCATTGTTTTGATTTGTGCATATTGTGGTTCATTTTAGGGTTTATGTCCCAAAGCTTGAAGCTTTACGAGTTTGTTGAACTCCAGAGCATAATACATGTCCCTTTAAGTGTCTCAAGTTGAGTGGACTCATAAAAATGGGATCTTGGACGTCAAGATCTCCCCATGCATGATATATGAGAACTTTTGTGAGTAAAGAGTGAGAGTCTATGAGTTTTAGACTTGCTCAGCCATGCTAAGGCTTAAAGTTACAAACTTTATGGAGTATTAGCCTTTAGTGAGTCCAGATATGAGATTATAGCTCTGATCTTAACGAATTAAGACCTGGAGAGTGAGAAAAAGTAAGTTTGGGACGTACGCTGAGCGTACTCCCAGATACGCGCAGCGTAGCGTCGAAGTTTCCCGATGCATGCATGGTGAAGTGGTAAGCGCAGCGTAAAGGTCTGTACTCCCAGCGTACGCGCTTGGTAGACTTTTGTTGACTTTTAGGGTTTAGGCAAACAGTAGAATTTGGAGGTCATGGAAGGGTAAAATGGTCTTTTATCCTTCTGAGAATTAGTAGAGGGTTTATCCTAACATCTTTGGGGGTCGTTCATTAATTAGAGTTAATTACGATATATGTTAGGCGGAGGCTAGACCGGTGGTTCGAGTACGAGACATACTTGCTTTACATACGAGGTGAGTCTTCTCACTATAATTACCTGAGTGGTAATACAGTGTGACCGGAGGGTCTTATATGCATATGCTGAGTTATGTGGTATTATGCATTTGTCTTTGTGATTTATGATGTATATTATTTTGTGCTTTATTGGTTAGGACTAGAGGGTCCAACCCGAGTTGTGAGACCGGAGGGTCCTCACTGAGACACATGGACCGGAGGGTTCTTATAGAGATATAGCCATGAGAGGCTAAGTATTTGTGTGTGGTATATTGGGGAACTCACTAAGCTTCGTGCTTACAATGTTGTGTCATATGTGTTTCAGGTACTTCTCAGGATTACGGGAAGGCGCCGGCTTGATTGTACACATGAGTTGGGTTTATGTTTTTGAGGATTCTGGGATATTATCAAACAATTTTTGACTTGTGTTTTGATAACTTATACATTGTGGTTTTTGAGAAATGTGATTTGGGGTTTTATGTGATTTTAAAAATGAAAAATTTGTTTTGAAAATTTCGAGCGTTACAAGTTGGTATCAGAGCCTTGGATTGAGGGATTCAGATGTACTTTCGGGTATGTCTGGACTCAAACTGAGGATTTGAGAAAATTTTCTAAAAAGAAACGATTTTTCTAAAACGAGTAATAGTTTTAAAGAGAAAACGAGATGGAGCAGTGTGTACAATCAGCCAGAGCCCAAACGGTGATTTCCGAAAATACCATTACTTGTTTATATTATGAGATACTTATGAGATATTAGAGTTGCATGCTAGAAAATAGGCTAGGTATTTCAGGGATTTAGAGCTAGAGTTGCCTGATTCATGATGCCTTAGCCTAGGAAATACTATTGATTGATCTTATCTGCTATTCGCTTTGTGAGTGTGCTGAGAAGGGATACATAGCAGGAATTTTCTTTAGAAAGGGTTTTGAGTAATCTAGGAGAGATATCTAGATGAGCATTGAGGAATCTGCCGAGAGAGTAGTTTGAGATCCGTGATGGATAGAGTACTTGTGAATTAGGATCCTAGGAGGAGGACTTGGGACGACTACAGGTTGGTGTGGAAGGTAATATTGGGCCCGTACTACTGAAAGCACCGGATTTGTATGCGACCCAAGTAAGAACCTTAGAATACTAAGGAGCATGTAGGGGTGGGTAATGGCGTGAGTACTTGAGCTAGTCTTTGATGAATTTTTCATGTTTGCGTTTCAGAGACACTATGGTGATTACCCGCAACAACCCCGGGAGCAGTGATACCAGTGACGAGGATATCCGCAGGATCATTCATGAGGAGGTGGCCACAACTATCATAGAGGCCATACCAGAGATGTTCGGGTCTATTAAGACCACGATGATTGAGACATTTGATGAGCGATACGCTGCTGTCACTGAGGCTGCTGCTGCTGCAGCCACTGCGGCTATAGCTGCAGCGAGGCCACAGGGAGGTGACTTGTTGTTGTTCCTAGAGTTCAGCAACACGAAGCCACCAGAGTTTGACGGGACCCAGGACCCGATTTCTGCCATGATATGGATCTCCGATATTGAGGGGTGTTTCTATACTTGTTCATGCCCGGAGCATTTGAGAGTTCGGTTCGCGCTGAACCAGCTTCGCTTGGGAGCGAAGGACTGGTGAAAATTCGTGACGACTAGCTTTACTCCTGCAGATCATGCTGCAATGACTTGGGAGAAGTTTACCCAGCTGTTTAGAGATGAGTATGTTCCCCGGGTGGAGAGGGAACGTTTGTGAAACATCCCAAAAATACTAGCCGAAAATTTTGTTTTCAAAATCATTTAACAAACATAAATATCATCGCCATAGTATAAAATCATAAAACATGTATCTCAAAATCTCATAAAATCTGTCATCATATCACAAACTCACATAACATATCAGAGTAAACTCCCAGGCTAAGAAAACTGTCGTGTGTGCCATGTCATCATCCCGAGCCCTTTCCCTTGCTAGCTGAAGTACCTGAAACCAAAACTGAAACTGTAAGCACGAAGCTTAGTGAGCTCCCCCAAACTACCATACACCTTACAAATCACGTATAGCAAATAACATAACTCTGGGACTACTCCCAACTGCATCGGGACGAATCCCGACATCGGCTTACCCGACATCGAACTCCTGTCCGGCATCGGGCTCACCCCGGCATCCGACCGCATCGGGCATCAGGCTTGCCCCAGCATCGGGCTTACCCCGGCACATACACAGCATAACATATATCATAAACATATAATCTGC